TAGTCTTCATGTTAGCGAGGATTTCTCATTGCCCTCCCGTAAATTGACAAACGACGTCGGGAGACTTTCGAACGCTTTCGACCGGTTGTGCTTAAAATGCGGGTGTTGTAAGCAGAGTGTCCAGATTTGGCGATTTCGCGCCAATTTGGCGATTTTTTTTGATATTTGCGCGTAGAAATTTAGAAAATCGACATTGGCGATTTTTGCGGATTTTTTCCTTCAAATAAATTTTTTCCAACTATAAAAAATGTGGTGATTTCCGAAATAGCTATCACTTCTACCATTTTTTCAAATTATTGTTGCTTCTCCACAATAAGTTTTAATTAAAAAACGGCCTCGAGCTCAATAAAAATCGTTGAATATAATTATAAAAATATACAAAACTTAGTTTTCCACGAACTACATGATAAACTGGACTTAAAAAGCATATTAAAAAACTGTCAAAATGTTTAATCACCCTACTTAATTGAAGAACTTTTGAAACGATTACCTGCCAATTCACTATTTGACTTCGAAGGAAATAAAAGAAGCAGAAACTGAATATTTAAATCTTTTAACTTTCCCATGGAATAACTTTTCTCAGAACCATTCCATCCGACCCTGGAGAATTTTGGATAATTGCTTATGGACTGAAAACCGCAGCAGGCAATAAAATGTTTGGAAATATTTATATCTTAGTTTGGGTTGAATTCATAACCCAAACTAATATTCGAAATAGGATGAGGTTGGAAAGCCTTAATTAAATAGTTCGAATAAAGTGTTATATGAAGGCTAATAGTTTATATTACAAAACGTTTTCAATATCAAACAGTAAGTATGTTATCAAGGTTGAATAGCTCAACAACACAGAAATGTAAATCATTCAGACACTGAAGGTGATTTTGAAGAAATTGTGGAAATAGCTGATCTCGCCTTATTATAGGTTTTTATTTAATTTTTAGCGCCGAGCTCTTAAAAGCGGATTGTGTGTGATTAATCAATTAATTTGAGTTATAATAAATTTAATAATTGCGCAGTCCTATTGCAAAATGTGTTGAAACAAATATTTTTAAAGAAAATTGTTTGTACATCACTATTATATAAGTGATTTGTGTTATTTATTATTACCCTCTGAAGGTATTATATTAATTTTGGTTCTTTTTTATAAAGCAATCACATTTCTGGCTAGTATATATCAGGACGAATGGATAAGGATTGAGCCAAGAGCTTTTGTGAGCAAATCCAATTTTTGGCAGCAATAATGGCGGTTTTGCAGAATGACGATATGCGGTTTTGTACTTTAAACGACGATATGTAACTTTATATACAATAAAAGTTTAATAAGAACAATTCTGTGTGCATACATTTGAAAAAGACGTTTTTGAGTAGGAAATGACGTTTTTCCAGACCAAGAGGGACGTTTTCTCATGCGGAAGACCTGCTAACACTGCTCCTTACCCAAGTTATTTGCAATAAATAAATTTTTAAATAAATTTAAGTTTGTTTTCGCATTATTGTACAACAAATTCTTAGTGTACGCCCTTAATACTTTGAAATGCAAATAAATTGTTGGTAGAACCCACAATCCCACTCTAATAAAACTAATAAAAATCACTTCAAATTCATAAATCACGCAGCAGTGAAAGTTCAATTGAAGGTTAAGTATAAAATCAGCAAACTAAAAAAAAAAGAAAAAGCCAGAGACAAACACAGATTGCCCGCAGATTAGAGACAGAAGCGAGCACGAGGTCAACGCATTGAAAACACTTAAGAGCCAGCAGTGATGTGGTTATGCGGCATACAAAGGATTTATTCGGATATAGAATGACCTTCAGACGAGTGAAATGACAAGGTAAGTAGCTAAAAAAAATAGATCAGTGAGAGCGATGAAAGGGCGAGATGGTGATAGGTTTTATTTTAATATTTTAAAGGGCATAAAGATATGTATATAATAATATTTATGAGTTACTAAGAATGTTACGAGTAGCTTGAGTCACTACAGAGTCAAAGTGAAATCCAGTTAAATGAGTTCTGCTTGAATAAACCACTGGCTAGCAATAATAAGCAACAAATAAAAGCGTATTCGTTGCTATTGATTATATCTATTTGTATCTTTTATGTTTACGTGTATTCTTGTATAGCATTATTTAACTGCTAAAGAATTTTTACAACTACTCAATTAAGTACCTGTATGTAAAGCAAAAAAAAGACGGCAATTGCAAATAAGCTTTAAAACTTTTATACTTTAAATCCGCGCAAGCAGTAATTCCGTATAATTAAGATTGCGCTGATAACGGCAGCCCAACACGGCTGGCAATTAATTAACTCTGATGCGAGAGTAGTTAAGCGGCGAGCGAACAGCTACTGAAAGCGCGTACGCTCGCTGTCCTCTGCACCCGCTTTAGGATATCAATTAATAATTAACATTAAATAATGTATTTAAACAATTCAATGTTTAACAAGTTTCGCATTCACAATACATTGCTGGCACAATTGCGATTATCAGAGCGACAACAAAAGCAGTACATGTAATAAATGTAGAAAAATTAAAAACAGAAATCGTGCGCGCCTGTTTACCAGCAAGTCAATGAACTGATAAAAGTCGTACGACTCTGTTTCTCATTTCTGTTCTGGGACTGAGACTGGTGCTAAGACGAGCAGGGAGTAGGCGACTGACGGTATACGTGCTGGAAGTTATGCTTATCTTAAAATTATAAATAAATAATAAATAGTTAAGCGAAAAGCAATGTAGTTAAACGTTGTTGTTGTGTTTCGGGCTGCATTGCACTATCTGTGGGGGCAGCAACGCACAGCTATGCATGCTCATTTATATGCATGAAGCTTAGTCAATTAGCGGTGAGCTTAAAAAGTAGGTGGAAATAGTATGTCATACGTAGCATTAAGTGACAGTTGAGATAGAAATGTATCGCAAATATTTATTGAACGACCGATGCTGTAATTGGCTCCCCCTGAAAATGTTTAAATTTTTGCTACAAAGCGTGGTTCAGCACAGCAAAAGGAGGGGTATGGGGATAAATAATTACGTCGTTTTGGGGCGTATTATGAAATGTTGTTGTTGTTGTCGTTTTCGTTACTGTATAAGCGTTCCTAATCGTTCTCGCCCAAATAGATGAGCGATTTCGTGTGACTTATTTTTGCCGTCACTGGTGCTGCAGTATTTACTATCGACTGACTGATCGTTTTGCACGTTGCCAGCAGGTGCTCCCGGTGAGTGACTTGGTTTCTCTAAACGTAGTTTTTTGCGATCACAGCACGTTTCAGATTTCAACAAACGATTGACGTCCACACAGATGATTGGTTATCCACCAAGTATAGGAGGCTTCCGTGATGGTTGGCATAGATAGCCGTGTGAAATGGCAGTACAACCGCGCGACACAAAAAGCGTTCCAGAATCCATGCTTGGGTTCGACTAGTTTTTGAGGCTTATTAAGGCTGGCCATTATGGATTTTGCAATTGATAAAAGAGAAGTTATGGGTCTGTATGATTCTCCTGCGTACGGCGTCTTCTACCATGGCCTTAAATGCTTTGGCGTTGTTGACAGATGCCTACGTCTAACTGCGTGTTGGTTTGGAAAGTATGACTACTAGTATGTATTGTGTGCCATCAAACAACCGTAAAATAATTTTGAAACTGTAAATATAGTCCCGAATTAGTCGCCTACTTGTACAGCCATAAGTCATTTTCTTCACCAGCCAAATTTCGCTCATTTCGAGACAATGTAATACATCATGTCATTCGGTACCTGCAACCGACATCAAAATCTGTTCAGCCTTACAAATCAGAGCACTTAAAATAAATGAAGTTATTAATTATATATATACAAACAAGTGACCTTTTTCGTCAGAGCCAAAGAAAGCACTTCGCCCATTCAGCCTACCACACGCCATCACCTTTACCACATCGCAACCCCCGCAAACATGAGTCTTCCAGTGAAGCAGTGCGTAACAAGAAATTGTTTGTACCCCAAACAAGTAAACATACAACAAAACGCATTGCAAATGGCCAACAGACAGCAGAGCAAAATAAAGCGCCACGATTGAGAAATCAATGAAATAACATCGATTTCCCGAACACTGAAACTGAAAAAAGCGTGCGAAAAAATTAATACAGAACAAAATAAGCAGACACACAATTTGATGATACCATAGGCCAACATCCCAACGCACATGGGTACGGTTTTGAGTTTAGAATCCATCGGCAAAGCTACACTGATTAGGTTGGGGAAGCGACAAAGTTGTCAAAAGGGGTACGACGCATAGCTACGTGAATAAGTGGGTGAACGACGTGGAAAATGTAATGAAATGAAAAATGACATAGTGTGGCAGTACATAGCTTTTAAATATAAATAAGCAAATATATGGGAAATGCATAAAACTAAAATACCAACAAAGACAACGTTGCGGCAAGTAACGGTGGGCAATAGCAGCAGCAGGACAACACGCAAAAACAGCAGAGCCAGCAAGATTACTAGTGGCTGCTTGGCACTTTGGTGAAGCAGTGGCTGAATTAGAGGCAAATTTGTTGAAATGAGGGCAATTGGCAAGACGCCAACTAAGCGACGAAGCAATCGGCAAAAGCGGACAGGCCGTCACATAAGAACATACATATAGCTTGCACAGCAGCCAAAAAACGAAAACGTTCAAAGTATTCGGCTATGAAATGGTACATCATTTTGTGCAAGCAAATATGTGTCCAAAAGCAACGGCTGACGTGACTGTGGAGTGATATAGACTGTTGACATGGGGACCGACAACTTTAGAGTGGATTTTGACAGAAGCTACTTAGACTACTTTTGTCCAATACTGCAAAACAACGGTGTATGAGATAATTTTCCAAGACATCATTTGAAAGAGAACTAGTTAGTATATATATATATATATATATATATCTTGTAGGGTAGTTCATGAAAATGTATTTTTAAGGCTATGTATTTCGGATCAGTATAGTAACATTGATATGCTGCTAAATTAATACCGAAATAAAAAATTAGAGCACTTACCCCATTAACCAATCGACGGTGTCTCGCAAATATTCCGGTATACGCTCCAGTTTGACGGCTGTTCCGGTGCTCTTGGGTGAAAAAAATATTGAGTTTGCAGCTAGAATTGGCTGTTTGAACTGGATGTTTTGCGTATTCAGAACCTGGCACCTTTACTCAAAACGGTTGAACTGCTCTAAAATGGCCAGTAAAGTTCAACTTCGAAAGCCCGTATCACTTTCGATTACCTAAACCAGCTGTGGCGTATGATTTATTTTGTATTTAAGGGGTGGGAGTTCACAAATAATGTTATAACTACAACCACCACCAATACTAGCACTGATCAGCCACCTCAGAGCAAGTTTTTAACTTGAGCCACCAATAGCTTAGCCGAAAACGCGAAAATTTGTACGCGTACACGCAGTTTTATCTTTTTTTATCTCACTTTGCAGAATTTGTTCACTTGTTTTCCAAACATAAATAATATTGAATAACCGAAAGAAAATAAATTGTGAAACACTTTTTCCCACTGCAACCACTTTTCTGGTTTTCTGTCACTCGCCACTTGCCTCTTTATCAACGTTTCCTTTTGCACTGCTTTTTACAAGGTTGCTTCAGGAGGAACGTGCAAAAATGTCCTAAACCTGTTTCAGCGCCAAGGCGAATTCATAAATGAAATGCAAAGTGCGGTAGCGTAAAAGAGAGCGCTATCGTTATCCAGTGCGAATTTTATGCAAGAATGTTTCAGTCCCACCAACGACGCTATGACGAGGTCATCTGTAAACGGCAAACAGCTGATCGCGAAATTTTTTTATTTATGCATACAATTTTCATACAAAACCAAATTGAATTCAATTTGCAGAGAAATTGAACTGCGCTTTACCAAGCAATCTCCTTTTCTCAATAAAAGTATTTTGCGCACTGGAATGTGGTGCTATTTTTAGCAGGAGATCTAAGCGCCCACAATGTTTGGAGTACATATGAAAACAAACTGGCACTCTGCTATTTATAGAACTACGACGCTTTTATCAACGAATTATGCACCCAACTGGGATAATTGCTCGAACTTCGCGCACCCCACAATACAAGGCAAATTTTGTCCTTCAGCGAATATACCAGCAAATCCTGTTTCTGTTTGCACTTTTTATCACGAATTATTGCACATTATTTTTCCACTCTTCCTCGCTCAAAATACATCGTACAGCCAATTGGACTCGTTAATCGCTTCTATCTACATTCCGCTGTTTTTCAACAGTTCTGCAGTTTTTTTTAAATTTATTATTTTAAAATTTAGTTGCTGGCTATCCAATATTCACAGAAATTTGCAACTCAACAACAACACGGCAAGAGATAAATGAAGCAAGGCGAATTCGTATTGCAATGGCGAAAAATGTCCCGAAGTATTGCCATGTCAAAGTAGAATAACAACCCATGAACCAACGACTACAGTTCACCTAATCAGAAATCAATGTATTTGTAATCGATTTTCAGAAAAAAAGTTTTCGTAGCGTTTTTGACGTTTTTCGGTTTTGTTTACACCGTCTTCTACCTCTTCGTAGTGATTTTTTAACGATTGAATGTGTTTTCTGCAGCGATTAGAGCTGTAAATCGATACCGATAGTCGGCCCATTCGATGTTTTCGATAATTTGCCTTGAAAGTTTTGTTTACTTCATGAAGAAAATTCCCAATCGTAGAAAAACAAATCGCTTGTTAACTTAAAATTAACGGTATGTATTACAAAAAATTTTCATCATTGCATAGACCTCACTCCAAAATTTGCGGAAATGTCCATATTTCAAGCGTGGGCTACAAAAACCCAAATCATTGTACAAATAGCCGAACCGTACCCCGTTTTCCTCATGATTATTTATCCATTCAAAGGAAATACAAGGATCCTCAAAATTTTACTAACCCTGTCTTATGCGGTATTTTTGCTGCATTTAAAATGCAACATTTAGCACTTTCGAACATATTTTTGTACATTTACGCGAGTTCGAAATCGTATGCTTTTGACAAACAGCCGTGTTCCAGTCGCTTATTCAGATCCGTATCTATTAGAGCTCTCGATTTTGTTCGCACATTTTCAAACAGCCCGGGTATATGAGCAGCGAGTACTCGCACACTTGTTCAGTGCTCATTACTCGAAAATTTTCGAGCATGAGCTCGAGCAACTCGAGTTTTTTCGAGTAATTTGAGCAATGTTTTTTTTTATTCTATTGACATTTTTGGTAGCAACTTTTTAAATTTTTCAAATTATTGATATATAATGCAAAGATTGTTAGAAATTCAAATAAAAAAATGCATTTAATGAACAATGGTAGGTTTTATTGATTTATATAACCTGTATTAAGGTACATACATATGTATACATATTTAATAAATATTTTAGTAAAAGGGAACAACATTTAAAACTATGTTAACAATGAAAGAATTGTTTTTAACATTAGTAGAAGTTTAATTTTTGTGTTGTTTTTCGTACATGTTATGAATCTAAATATTTTTTATTTTGATTTAAAAATATTAGCAAATTTACGTTTTCGGGCTAGTGAACTTCTTTTTGCGGTCACTATATTACCAGCAGTAGAAAAGCAGCGCTCTGCACTAGCTGATGTGGCTGGAATTGACAAATACTGCATTGCAGTTTTGGAGAGCTCTGCATATTTCGCTTTACGATTTTTCCACCATTCAAAAGGATCTTCGTTGTAACCAATTTGAATTTCTGCAATGTACTGATTAAGTTGTGACTCTAAATTATTTTCTAAACTATTGCATGATTTTTTAAAAAATAAGTCTAACTTTGATAATTTTGAATTTTGAACATTTTCATTAACTAAATTTTGCTCTGCTTCTTGAAGGTTTTGATTTTCTAAAATTTCCTTAATTTGCTCTAAAACTGAGTCCTTCATCCGTGCAGTTTCGTGGTGTAAATTTTTGTATCGTGGATCAAAAAAACTTGCAATCATCCTTGGGGATACAATATTGTTATCAGCATCCAACTTAAACCGTTTTTTTAAGTCAACTACTACATCTTCTTTTAATTGCTTTACCATATTAGAGTCCTCATCTTTCAGATTGAAGTGGGACTCAATTAAAAATTGTACCATTGGTCGTACAACAGATGTAGGTGAATGGTTCTCTGAACATAGCAATTCAGTTAATGTATGTGCTGATTCCAAAACTTCGCATAACTTCTCAACTTGCAACCATTCTTCTTCATTGATTTCCAGTTTTTGGGCGAATGTGGGAGTAGTTAGCTGCCTATCAGAGAGCACGCTAAGCATAGGCTGTCGATTATATAAAATTCTTTTAAACATGAGATATGTCGAATTCCATCGTGTGTTGTTCTTTTGCAACAGCGATAATTTACTTAATCCTAATAAATTTTGGTTTCTGTACAAAGCATTCAAAGCGGTGGAAGAATGTTTGAAATGGCTAACTACTTTGCTAATTTTGGTTATTAAATTTTGAATTTCTGGGTTTCCCAAAGCTTTGTTTATACTTAATTGTAGAGAGTGGGCCGAACAACTTAATTCTGTTTTAAACTTAACAGCATTTAGATCACTCACTGCGCTAATTATATTAGCAGCATTATCAGTGACGATAGCTGACACCTGCTTAATAGACCATTCATTTAATATATCTATAATTTTGTCTCTAATGTTATCCGAGGTATGTTTCTCACAAAGTTCCAAAGTATCTAAATTGAAGGTATGCATTGAAAAATTTTGATGAAATATTGTAGCCATTATTGTCAAGTAGGAATTTTGCGAGACTGAAGTCCACAAGTCGCAAGTTAACGATATTGATATCGATTCTTTTATATAACCCATGAATTTAGTTCTTAGCTTGTTACTTAAAATTTCTAATCTTCTCTTCATGGCTTCTTCCCCCAATGTTTCATATCCTGGAGCAATAACTTTCATAAATTCTTTAAATCCATTGCTTGAAGTAAAGGAAAGGGGTAGCTGATTAGTTGCTATTAATTTGGCAGTTGCTAAATGAATGTCTTCGGTTTTTTCTTTTACGATACTCTTTAAATATGCATCGTTAGCAAATTTTTTCTTCCCTTCGCTTGGACCGGCTACATCGTTGTCACTACAAATTTTTCATATATGTAAGTAAAATTTAATTCTTTATTTTTTACAACTCTTACTTTAAGATACTTATTGCGGTGGGTGAGATAAAGGTCCTGTCTATATCACTTAATGCTACTTACATAAAATCTGCATCGTTTGATAACGAATGAATTTTATGCAAATGCCGCTGCAGAACCGTGGTGTTGCCGCCAGAACAATTGATAAAATTGTTGCATATATTACATTGTGCCCGAGCCCCATCTCTAGACGCATAACGCCACACCCAACTTTTATGGCGATACATTGGTATTTAATAATACAATTTATTTAACATGAATTAGAAAGCAGCTGCTGACAACTACAATTTACAAATTTTCTTTTGTTTATGAAATTGTTCAAAAACTCGAAAATTTTGAACAAACATTGAGCAGTTGAGCAATGAACGAGTTTCGAGCCAGTATCGAGCTACTCGCATTGCTCGATACCCGGGTATCTAGAGCTCTAGTATCTATTACGATCAATTCTCACGCCGAAGATAATCTGCAAAAAACCCTACTGAAAAGGAAAAAATAATTTTTGAACCAAAAATTCAACACAAAAACTTTAATTGTTTTAACCATAACCGAACATTTGTTGGTATATATATTCAATTATCGGTGCTGTCGATTAAAACTTCCTCACTTAATTAGGAAACAAAACAAACAGATTTGACCACAAATTGATACAGATTTCTATCAGCATCACATCGATGTTAAATTTGCTTAACCTTTCTTTATCCATATAATGTAAAATAATAAATGAAATCTCGATCGGCGATCACTCGCGTAAATGTACATTTGCTTAATTAGATAGCATGAACGCTCTTCGAAAACATATGTTCTAAGATGCTAAATGTTAAATTTTCAATGCAGCAAAAACGCTGCATAATGGGCTGTTTTTGCTTACTCGTAAAAGCACATTTAGCGCATTTAGCTCTAAATGTTCATTTATCCATACAAAATTCGTCACCTAAATGCAACTCCATTTTTGCATTAAGAATCTAAATGCTAAAAGCAACCCGGTGATCTTCAAAAATTTCCACGAATCGAAAATGTGGTGCGTTCCAGAACGTCTACGATTTGCAGGATTTATTCCAAAGCCGTTCCCGTACGCCACGTTCACATAAGGTTTATTAAAGGTGAAAATAGCTGTTGCTGTAAAACCTGCAAATCCTGCAAATCGTAGGCGTTCTGGAATCGTGAAGTACGGGTTTAATGAGAAAAAGTGGCCACATTGCTTTTCGCGTATACAGTTGCTAGCTGCGTTTCAGTGATCGCCGATAGAGATTTCATTTATTATTGTGGCGAATACTGCGGCAACACAAAGCGAACAACGAGAAATAGGCA